ATTTTATTGTGGTTCATACAATTGTTTAGAACGGATTTTTTTTCTGTTGAGGAGCTATCGAGCTCTGCAATTGTTGCGTTTGAGATGGCGAGAGCCGCTCACCTTAGTTAATTTGTTTTCCGTCTGACGGCGAAAATGTTTTGCATTTATGTCCTTTCATTATGTACATTTGTTTATCTTATTGCAAATGATTGCTTAAGTTTTTTTTTTATTTTGTATGTTTGTTGATCGAACGATTGATGAATAAACACTTTGTCCGGCCAAGCCGTGACAATAGCTGCAATAGCTCTGCTGAATTTATTTTACCCACATTCCTTCAGCACCCAAACCAAAACGAACGTTAAAACGCTTTACATCATTAATTTTGCGCAAACAATTCATTGCAGAATCCTCAAAGTCGTGATTTAAGGTTTGAACCTGGGGGCGGGAGCGAGATGGCAAGCAACGTTTCTGCACCGCCAACACTGATAAACGCTAGACATTTGATAACTTTGAAACGTGAGCAAGCATAACCACAGTGCGTCAGGGTAACACACAGAGGAGCATTATTGCGTGCTGAATGTAAAGGCAGAGGGGCGAGGGCAACAACTCGTCCCTGTAAATTGATTTCAACAAGAATCGGGTCGGCATCTTTATTGATAGAACCTAAAAAATCAACATTCCGAAGATTTTCTCGCCCTTGGCTTTCACGCGCCCCATCTTTTATCCATCCTTTCTTATTCTTCCCCTCCAAGCAGACGAAAATAGCTTGGTGTATATGGAGCACGGCGCATGAAGGACGCATGGATAGGTACATTGGGCGCCCTCCTTCCCTCTCCCTCCCCTTCATTCCTCGGCAAACATGTCTATATCGCGCCGTGTCTGTGTCACCAGCACACCCTCCTCCCGTGGCCCGGTGGCCGAGGCGCAAGAGCTGCCTAGGAGTTGATCTCTGCACAGCTTCGAAACTATTCTCCGCCAGGCCAAGCAGTGACAGTTTTTTCTAACTCGACCACCCTGCGAAAGTTTATTTCTCTAGACCTGGACAGGTCCAAGGATAGCAGGGGCCATGGTGGGTGCTTGCACGCCGTGTCGGCCACCGGCATTCCGATCAAGTTAAGTAGGTTTCTTCACAAAGGGGCGACCTGCCGCCTGGACATGATACGTTTATCATTCCCGCTTGAGATGAGCCCTCTCTTGAGGTGATCCGGACCCTCCCCGTGTGTGGGGCACTGCGCCCTCCACCACCCAGCCCTGGATACTGTCACGCACACGGCAGCGCACGTCACGACGTCTTCTGAATCGGCTCGCGTACGGGCGCACAACACCCCACACCCCGCGCAGAGGAGATAGATACAGAGAACATTCTATATTTAAGGAACAAGGCAAAGAAATTGAATCCGCCTGACCAAAACTCCCTATGAAACGGAAAGAAAAGTGCATCGCTTCTCTATCAGCAGTTTCAAGATGCGCCTCTTGGTCTTACTTGTCTCCTGATCCGTATTGTGGATGTGCCTCGCCCCTCACCC